TTACGTACGTACTGTAATTATTTTACCACCAGCGCATAGTGTAGTTGTATGTGACGGGACACCTCGTTGAGGCAGGAACACGCCGTAGTATTTACTCGTTCGTGTTTAAGTTGTTGCGTAGGAAGCACTGGTAATAACTGCATCCTTTTTTTCTAGCTACAGGATACTATGTTGGTGTAGTTGGTGTATGTCTTTTTTTGCATCCAGTATGGCTACGACTTGGGGTGACACTGACTGGGCCAGCGTCCCGTTCCCCGCAATCCGCTCGGTGGTTGCAGACCGTCCTCCTGCATACATAATTATAGCTTATTGGCTCCTATCCCATTTCGCACACTCGTACATGTACTGTACGTGTACACATAGATATTCGCACTAGGTAGGGACACAACCTACATGTAGCCATGGCCGGGCCAGACCTTCAGACAAACCAAACCCGCTCGCCCGCAAACCAACACTCCCTTTGATGAGAAGATATCCATTGCTCTAGATACCGTCATCCCGTCTATTCGCGTTTCTGGCCTATGCCAGGCCAGTATGTCGCCCCCGAGGACTTACTTGGCAAAGCTTGTTGCCCGTGGAGGCTTGCCTTGGCACTCACTGTGACGATCATGTTCTCTCAGCATCCGCCTTGGCAGGGCCCATCGTACTGAGCAGAGAACAACGAGGAGACGCCAGACAGTCTGGGGCGTTGGTTGCAGTCGGGATAAAGCGAGCCCACGAATGGTGTTAGAGGCCCACGACAGTGGCCACGATATCTTCTTTGCAGCCATGATCTGCATGATCCGGCGGGCGGTCGTTGACTATCACGTCACACACTGGAAGCTCATTCGCTCCATCGGTCGCTCCCCTCCGTGTGTCTTGGTCGCTGAGATGTGGTTCGTATACTCGTCGGAGCATTTGATAGGCAGACGGGATGGCACAGATGACTACTGTGGCATGGAGACTTTGGAGACATGGCCCGAATGGCACGTCACGTGTCAAGACATTCTGGCGAAGCAGCTGGTAGAATTTAACCAGATTGGCCACTATGCACGCAGTCCATAAAGCATCGATTAACGTGCCCATTTTTAAGGTTGGTAGATGGTAAATTTGAACGATATAGAACACCAGACATACATACCCTAAACACGTAGCTCCAGATTTTTCTATCAGCAATTCAAATTTCTCTCTTGGATATGCAATGGTTCTCGGCCAGAATCAGAACTAATTTTTCCAGTCAGAAAAGTTACAGCGAGAGACGGATACGCACATGTCTTGCACTGCTCCGCGTGAGACTCGGACAGCTACTTGGTATGTACTTAAGTAGGCGTTGAAATAATTAGCAGTTTCATTCCCTCATAAACCGCGCCCATGTCGCTATTATAAATGGAAAGGTCCAGTTCCAAGATATGATGAGGCTGGCATAGACATGCAAGCGGCTCAAATTGAGACTTGTGTCAAACATGCTGTATGTAGCAGTTCTATCATCGGAGCTTATAAGACGTAAGAGACATCTTTGAGCCTACGTTTGCAAGTGATCTGCTCATGCCATGCAGGTCTACTACTATCATGAAAGGACTGTGCACAGAATTGGATTCAGGAGATGCAGCGATCTGATTTCAGGTTTCGCATGGCTAGCTAGAAGAAAGGTATGAGAAGTAATACACTCTCATGTAGGCCGCGCTCAGCATTAACTGCTACACGCATTTCTACAGCAACAAAGATTGACCCACAAAGTGCTCTTCGCGATATCTTCACCGATATCATGTTTTGGGGTTTGGCCGAGCATCCTCTCGAAAAGCAGCAAAGGCCGTCTAACGACATCACATACTCCTTTTCGTATCATGCTGATTAAATATGTAAGCTATACCCCCCTTTCTGCCATGGCCTCTCAATCATGCTCTGTATCTCTTCACAGATCTTCCTCCCTCAGAAAATTTTATCATATCACACCTCACTACTTCTCCTATATTGCCATTTTATTGTTCAATCCTGATCGTGAAGATAGCTACTAGAGAGAGCGTCCAATTTCGTGCGCAGGACACTACAAATCCTTCCAAGATTAGCATTCGCTTAGAAAATGACTCTCTGAATGTCGACTATGGAGCCGTCAAAAGTGCCTTATCTATCACCTTTCGCCGTACCGTCCGCGTCCCTGATAATTATAAAGATGTCAGCGCATTGCCTCCGAATATGGGCCAATTCCCCCTCTATAATGTTCAGGTCAGCCATTCTACGACTTTAATTTGCTGTTCCCCCTAATATCTTTATCCTCACATCTATCACACGCACTGTCGTCTTCACATATACGGGCTGAAATTAAGCCGTACTTGCTCACCAGTGTTGCGAACTAGGATTACGCTGATAAGATGCCAACCGGAATGGCTGAGAAGTCTGGTATTTTCCTCACTATGTATCAGCGCGAGGCAATGTGGATCGATTTTCATGCCGAATTGCCATTCGCTGTCAAGGTTTTCGTGGGTGGTATCAACGCCATCTCCGGATTGCGGAAGGGGGAAGCAGCGCCGGACCAAGACTACATGGTCGTGCCGTGCCAGCCCTGGCTTGATGGTATCGCATGTGGTAACGGGAAAGTACGTCAATTCGTCGCGCGAAGCAAAGGTTCCGGAACCTCTGTTGAGGCGCAGACCACTGGTAGTGATTCTACCGGAGGCATCCAGTTCGAAATCGTTCCTATCAAACCCGGACCGCTTCCAGAGCAGTTGGAAGTATGCTACAAAAACTCCGACGGTAAAGAAATCAATCGGACACTCACTCTGAGAGAGAACGGTATCGATTCATCGTCCACTTGGAATGATCTGAAGCGAGTCCTGAAAAATGAGTTTGATATAGCTGTTGACCAACAGGTACTATCCCCTCGCGTGAAATGGAACCACTACCTACCAATAAAAGACGATGCCAAAATTAGTGATCATTATTTCACTCCCGGGTTTGTTCTGGTGGTGAGCAGCGATGTTCGAAATGCGGCGCCCCCTGCACGAGGTTGGTTCTATCGCATAACACATGTGCTGTCTTTCCATAATAGCATCGGGAGTAAGAGAATATCGCCCACCTCTTTCAGGATTCCATGATAGCAATGCTCACATTTTCTCTTACTCAGGTCCCATCGCCATTGGGGAAATGAGCATCGGAGCCGGTGGATTGAGTAAGAGTTGCCCCTTACGCTCGATCCCCTTACCAATGTACATCCGACATATTGAGGTTCTGATAATCATATTCACAATGACGTATAGTCAACCAAAGCATCGTGCGAGACAGCAACCCACCCTCGGCGTATGACAAAGATGCAGCGATCGAAGTCTCTGTGCATCTATTGGACACGTTCACGTTCTCAGCCGTGACGGGCAAGCCGGCGCCTCCGACGCCCATCAGCGCCAAGACATACGCCGACAGTAAGTGATTCTCCGACCCGAAGTCCCTTCCACCAATAGAATATGCACCGCCGTGTTTTATGGCTACATCAATACCACCTTTTTCCCTTCACTGCCGCATCCCGCAGAGAGGATTGGGCCTTCACCCTTAGATGGTGGATGGATGTCGCTGACAGTTGAATATTAATAACAGCTGGCTGCCCGTTTTTCGCGATTTGGGGCGAAGAGCCCTCAGGGGTCGTCGGCGACTTTGGGAAGGTGCAGAGCATTGCCCAGCTCGAAGAGGCGCGCGCCAAGACAGACGATGCCCCTTACGCCAAGGAGTCGAGCGTGGCTCAGCGCATATCGGTGATCGGCACGTTCAAATCTACCTTTAATCCTGTCGGCAACCCCTAATGCGACTTGTGCGAGCGACGAGTGATTGGAAGTTCTGTTTCGCTGAGGTTGCTGGAGCGACCAAACAGAGGGCGGTATATTCTTGAGCTCTTTATAGAGGTTCGTCTTGCAAATAGAAGGGGATGGTTGAAAGAAAGCATGGGATAAACGTTGAACAACGATACGGCAAGGAATCTAGGATAGAAATTACTGGCATTGAGTTTAGAATATAGAGCATAGACTTGGGATAGGATATGGTTGGCAATTTAGAAGTCATTTAGTAAAAGTGATGGAGACCAGAGCCCGTTCTTATGAATGTCACAAAGGATAGTCGCGATAGGAAATTTAGAAATTGTTCTGTCTTGGATATTAAAGGCAGACGTCCAGGGAATGTGAAACTGTAGCCATTCGAAGTCAAATATCAATGAAAGGGACATCTAATGAAAAACTTCGAGTGTCATCGCGTAAGCTAACTTTAGCATACTGCCGATACATATCCTTTCCATTAGAAAAGAATATAGCTACATGACGCAGTGTCGAGTGTATTCTATATTTTTTACGTGAAGCCTCAAAGATGCTCGCCGACCGCTGAGTTGCTTGGGAATCTGATGTTGAAAACAAATCATCACGACAAGTCTATTGCATGTAGAAAATTATACAGCAAATAAATAGCGATCAGCATACCGCTCAGTGAATTTTCTGTCTAATCTATAATTGCGACTATGAGTATGATAAACATCGCAAAGAATGTTCATCGGGATAATAACTTCAATACCTGGCGGCAGTAGATGAACGTGCTTGACTACTACTTTTTTAGAGGCATTTGCCCTCTGCTATTTATATATGACGCCTTAAGCCTGTGCCTATATAGGATGTGGTTCAACTCGAGAAAATTGTAGGATTTCATCATCTTATTATGACATTACTGCATCACTAGATAGAAGGAGATTTTGACTGATATTACCATCCGTGCTCATGAACCACAGAATTCAAGTCTTACATCTAAGCATGAGCAAGGAAACATTTGAACAAACAACTATAGACAAATCCTCTGTATCTGTAATTGAACCAATTCCAAAACACCGTGTGGTGAATCAAACGACCACCTACCCATATGAATAGTTATACCAAGCCCATCCAACATCCGAGCACCGACGTCCTGCTTAGCTCAGTGGTAACCTAGCTACGACTAAGCGTCACCAGCAAGACTAGCAGTTCGATTACGGCGGTGTGCATCACCTTTCTACGCAAGCATCCGAATTGGTGTAGTGGCTAACATTTGACGCTCTCATGCCTTGTATCTATGCTCCTCTCCTTCGAGGAAATGGAAAAAAGGAGTGCCGTCAAGCCCGGGGTTCGATTCCCCGATTCGGAGTTCGTTCGGGTTTACTTTTTGGCTCATCCTTTTCTATAAACATTGGCGTTCTTATTTCCGGTCATAGGATACTGTGATCGGTTACAAATTATCAAGAAGGGCTAATTTTTTGTTGGAAAAAGGTAATATTATCTATTGATGCTGAGTATCCATGATTTACCAATTCGCCTCTCCTAATCAGGGCTTGTCTTTAACCACCTGAAGACAGAACTGGAATGATGTACAGCAGAACAAACCCAGTATTCGTCATGTAGCGCCCAAGTATCATCTTTGCAGTCTATAATATACCTTCAGTGACCAGGCACAGCACTGTGAGCTGGACCAGTACTGATGACAATATCATCTCTGTCCGTGAAGTGCAGAATGACCGTTACTCCCAGTAGATTGAGATCGTCGCCACGTTGCGCATAGCCAGGTTCGGGAATAGGCATGTCCGAGCCCTTGAGCGAAGTCCGAGTCGATATCTCGGCCTTGAGTTGACGGATCTCAGCCGTCAAAGCTAGATATTGTTCCTTCCAAACACATTCGTGATTGGGAGGAGCGATGGGTGTCGGTTTAGCAATTTCGGTTTCTGAAGATGCTTGGGCCAGATTTTCTGTACCCTCGTGCCCGAATTCATGATTTGGCCTGCGTGTTGGGGGTGTGAAGATCTCGTTAGATCCTTGCTGGCGATGGCGTACGTATGGAGACCTAGACGGGGTGCTTTCTTCATGATCGAGCTGAATGCCCGAGCGCAGTTGCATACCTTTAGTCTCCTCTCTGTTCACACGCGACTGTGACAGTCCACTTTGGGCCGTAGAAGTTGCCCCTTGATTGGCGTTTATTGCCGAGTGAGGCGTATTTGTACGATCCTGAGAGAATTCGAAAATTTGACGCCGTTTTGATACCGAAAGCGACTTACCTCGCTGTTTACGGTCGGGTAATGACTGGGCATCTTGTGCTCCAGATGTGGGATGACGGCTCCCAGATACTTTCGGCAGTGACGAAGGAGGCCTATCTAACTCCGCAGTAACAGGACGACTTCTTTCCTGGGGTACTGCCTCGTGATCATTTTGAGACCGTACACGGGGGTAGGTTCGCTTGTGAGCTTTCCGTGCAGGGTTTGCTGAACGAATAGTCGTGCGCCCCCTCTGCTCGTCGGCGATGGTAGTTGAGGGGTACCCATGGTCGTGTTCACGCACTTCATGGTTCGCCGTGTCGACGTGGTGTAGATAACTAGTAGCATCGGCTGGTTCCTTGGATGGATTCTTTAACCACGACGGTATACTGGCTAGTCGGGTTTTGGGAGGCCCGTTATCACGTCGCGATGACTTCGATTCATCGCGGAAATCCCTTTCCTTACTATCGACTGCAGCCTTACTAGACATAAAATCTTCTCCGTATGTAGTCGCTTCGTTAGAGATCATATGTGGCCGAGGATCTGACGTGCTCATTGCGTCTTCTGATGAAGGGGGATATGGCTGCCTCACGGTACCTGAGCGTTCCGGGTGACCAGGAGGAACGACATCTTGACTCCACTGAAACGAATCAATTTGTGTAACTGGCGTGGGCTTCGAAAGAGGCCTGAGATGAGTGATAGGTTCGACGCTTGCCTTAGGAGAGGTTGGTTGGGCCTCTTGTTCCTTGCGCTTTGCGAGAAGGTCGTAAGCATTGTGACCAACTGCTGAAGACAAGTGCTCTGCAATATGATGATGGCTGTGGAATCCGGCCGAGTGATGACGATGCACATTATCGGCCTGGCTTTGGTGGATGCCAGTCTGCGAAGTAGACGTTTCGAGGAATTCACCTTCGAGCGGTCTATTTGAAGCTTCGCTCGAGCCCGGGGCCCGCCTTCTCTGCTCGCTCCCGTGTTTAGAGCAGGAGACGCTATGTCGGAAAGGATAGTGCCCAGTATGTGTGGCTTTACACATGGGATCATCGCACTCTACTTGGTTCATACTGTGTGTACAGACATTATCTTCCACTCCCTGCACTTGATTCAATTTATCGTTGGCGAGGAATGGATTTGTCTTGATGGGCTGCGTCGATCGTTTTTGTATCTGTTCGGAATTTTCCTCATTTATACGTGAGCGATATCTGTTGCTCGAAATATGCGTATCACGGGAAGCGGCCACTTTCCTGTCATCTTCAATCGCCTGTGACTCGTTGTATTTGGCGTGGAGGTGGGATGATCGAATATTCCGGGCATCTATGAAACCCTCGTGTTGGCTTTCAGGGTTGGGAAGAGCCGGTTTTACCTCCGAAGGGCGAGCGGGTGCTAAGTCTGCGTCGACACTAGAAGCCGGTACATAGTTTGGTCCATCTCTTGAGATAACAGGGCTCGGGTGATGCGAAAAGGCGGCATGAGCCTGCGGACCGCCACCGGGCACCTCACATTTACACTTCTCACAAAGACGGTGCCCACAGGAGGAGCAATGAGTTGGGGCCCAGGTGGGAGCTGAACAGACATGGCAGTATCTGCAATACCTTCGGGGGCTGGCATTTCCATCCCCTGACAGAGATATGTCCGAAAACCAGCCGGAGGGTCTCCTAATATCGTACTGCATGAACATGTCTCGAGCCGATCTCCATCTCTCAAAATCCGGAGTCTTACGAGAGACAGAGGAGGCAAAATCCAAAATTTGTGGCTCAACGTGGGGAGACAAAGGGTTTGCGAAAGCCTTTGCCTCATGAGCAGCTGGGGGCGAGCGGACACGATTGGGGTTGAACCAGATGCCGGCAGCGTCAGAGATATGATGTTCATTGGACGAGTAAATCTCTGTTCGGCCGAACTTGTTGCATACATGGCCCAGAGTAAAGCTTTTCTGGCACGAAGAAGGCTGCAACAGGAAAAGTGGCTGAGATACGGGTCTCTTTGCGTTTTCTCCGTCGGTTTTATTCCGGCCACAATTGTGGAAAACGAATGTATGGGCAACGGGTGGGCTTCGGAAATCAGGGGCGTCGAAATACGGCGGCATAGATGCTACGGGCCGAGGGCGTGGCGGGCGTCCCTAACCAGCAGCTGTGTGCACACGCTCGCGCTCGGCTGGGTCAGCATCTTGGGACGATCGGTTGGCCTGACTACGAAACGCGTCAAATTGTCGCAGCCGGGACGTGACGGTTCCGGTGGGAATTGGAAGCGCAATAGTGGGAGTTTCGTTTTGGCTGGGTCTGACCAAGATATCACGAGTGCGCTCCTGCGGGCGTAGAGACATAACGAACGGCCTTCGTCGGTGGTATTGCTCAACCTGTATCGAGCGTTAACAATTATCTAGTTAGGAGTGTGATATACAGAATGCTTGAAAATTATGAATTATGAGAAACTAGGTTGGTGATCAGACCGATTGTTGACGAGAAGAGGGTAAAAAAATCGATGATGCTGTGATTTTAACAGTGCATACGCGAGGTTATGGGAACGTCCACAGCAGGTAGCGACGTTTCGTTGAATATCCGTAGACCGGTAAACTGCGATGGGCACGAAAAGCAGGCGCATTCACAGGCATAGAACAGCACACGCGCAGATCCCAACATGCAAATACTTCTCGATTCGCTCTCGGGAATTGTGGGGGATACATTATTCTGATGTACAAGCTGTCGCAATAGCCATCTTCTATACAATCTATTTTAAAACAGCCTGCAAGCTCTCAAGCACCTGGTCACGTCAGTTAGTCAGTCATTCGAGAATGAAGATGACATGTAGTTGACACGGGACATGAAATGTATGGCCTACCTCAAGCTCAATCTTAGCCTCTGCAATATCCTGCTCACTGCCACTGCCGTTCGCTACTTTCTGGGCCTCGGTAATCTGGGACTTGACGGCCTCGGCGCTGAAATCCTCCAAGGGGTAGCCCTCGACGGCGTTGATGCTTAAGACGGAATTCGGCTGAACCGTAGCAAACCCTCCAGAGACTGGTGCCAAGCTTTAGTAAACCGTCCCATAGACTGACCAACTGGCTGACTGCTTGCGCCGTCTCGTTTGTACGTACGGAAAAACTGCTTGCTGGAGCCGCTCTCCTCGATGATCTCGACCAAGCCGGGCTTGAGCTGCTCAATTGAAGGGACGTGGTTGGCGAGAACACCCATCTCTCCAGACTCGGCGGGGAGGTTGACCTGGACGACGTCTCTCGAGCTGTAAATGGACTATTGCGCGAATTAGCGAGCTGGTTGGCCGCGAGGTCGCATTCGCACGGGCGCCTGGATAGGCCGCGGCATTGGCGGTAGGTCGGGCGCATTTCGAATCTCGCGGGGCCATCGTACCTGATGGGGGAGAGACAAGCTCAGCTTGATCTGCATATCGTTGCTTAGTTAGTAGGGCAACGCTGGGGCGGCAGTGGGAATACGAGCCTTGTCAGAGGCGGCGTCGGCGTAGCCCCGTCGCTGTAGGGGTTGCACGAGGGGCCGCATAGCAGCAGGGCGAGCTCGCAGAGCTGCGCGGGCGACGCGGAGGGCGCTCATGATGACGGACGGTGTCAATTGAAGAGGTGCGTGACGGGCGAAGCTCACGATAATCACATCGGCAAATTGGATCCGATAACCTCGAAAGGCGGACTGTCGGAAGCCTTGCAATCTAGCCTGATTCGGTATCGCTCAAACACGTGATCTTGTCTTCGGCTTCCAGATTTTATCACGTGCTAATTGCCCTTTATGGATAGGTACCTACATGGAGACAAAGTAAAAGTCACGTGAACAATGCCAAGAGGGGCTCGGATCTGTGCCACACCTCAACTTTTCCTTGGCTTCGCTAGGAGTGTGGCACGTAAGTGAGCTTTCCCAAGCCCGGCTGAGAATGACGTAAGTGGCCAAGAAGTACTAGTGTTCCTGGCGCATCTGAAGTACGGTACGGCACGGAAATACAGTAAAATGCAAAAAGTCCAAGAGTAAAGATGCTCGACTTCATACATACCTACACATATATTCCTGTGTTCATATACGCCGAACGGTATGTAGAGATTTGGTTATGAGAGGTTAGCCACCACTATTCAGATAGGTCACTAACCATTGGTGAGCGCGGCTAACACATT